CTCAACGCAAGTCCAACTCAACCCGAACTTCGAGTTGAGGTTCACCCACTGCAACTGTTACTTTTCAAAAACGATAAGTATATGTTTACGTTGGCTGCTCTCGCTTCGAAATTAATACGCCTCGATGAATTATGACCCATCCGATTTATAATTAATACCATTTTGAAGTTATTAAATCAAAAAATTATTATTATTCTCACTTTTTCTTGCTATTTGCTCCCTTTAGTCATTGTAAGTTCCAGAACTTCTTTTGCAGCTAAGAATCTGACCAGAATAAATCCAGTATTTTTTTTTTAATCTAGAATCATACCAGTAGAATATCTTGCTATCCAGAACATGTTCAGTGCAATTCCAAACAATTCCTTCATTCCTGGAATCTGTCCAGAATAAATCCAGACTTTTTCTTGCAGTTTAGAGTTTGGCCAGAATAAATCCAGACTTATTCTTGCAGCTTGGAGTCTGACCAGAATAAATCCGATGGTTCTTCTTTTAATTTAGAATGTCCAGAATAAATCCACACTTTTTCTTGCAGTTTGGAGTTTGTCAAGAATAAAGTATATCTCTTAAAATCTAGAATCATGTATGTATGTATATATGGATTACCACACTTAGGCCCCATTGGACCTCTTGGTCATCCTCCCATCACACACTCTGGTTACATCAACAGCCTAGGGATTTGCCAAAGACTAGGACATCTTCCAAAGGTTTGTTCCTGATATGATGAGGGGCAATCACACAAGATGTGTCTGATCTTGACAAGAATAAGATGTTCCTGAATAAAATAATGAATAGAATCATACCAGTAGAATTTCTTGCTATTTCGATGCAATTTTTGACTTCCCCTTAATATCTAGAATATGTCCAGAGTAAATTCGGAGGTTTTCTTGCAGTTTGGAATTTTACAAGAATAAATCCATTCTTTTTCTTAAAATGTAGAACCATACCAATAAAATTTCTTACTATTTAGAACTTTGTCGATGCAATTCTTGTCTTTCTCTTGCTATCTAGAATATAACCACTGCGAAGCCCATCCTGAAATCAATTCGAACTCAATTCAAACCAAATCCGAACCCAACCTCAACCCAAACCTAAAACGAACCTAACTGGGATCCACCCTGAACTCAACACGAATTCAACCTGAACCCAAGTCCAACCCAACCCAAACCTAACGCGAACCTAACCTGAATTGCTTTTAATAAATTGTGNCAACATTGAGGGCAATGAGAAGGCCGACAAGCTGGCCAAAGAGGCAGCAAACACGCCCTTCATTGGACCCCAACCTGGATGTGGACTACAAAAAAGCCACCTAAAACAAATAATCAACAACTGGGAGGCTTCAAAGATAGCCTTACGCTGGAAAGAACTTCCAGGTCACAGACAAGCGAAGAGTATGATAACTCCGTCGCAAAACAAAACCAAAGAGGTTTTATGCCTCAGCAAAGGGGATCTAAGAACGCTCTCAGGCTACCTAAAATAGCACCTCTTCCACATTGGACAAGCTGAGGATCAAACTTGTCGACTATGCAACGACGAGTCAGAAACTGCTGAACATATACTGTGTAATTGCGTCGCCAGAGGCCGTCTAAGACACAACGTCTTCGATAAAACTCCCCTGTTACCTACCGACATAAAGGTTCAAGACCTCACGACAATACTAAGGTTCATTAAGGACCTACATTTGCCCTAAACCTTTGGAGGGCTAAAGTTACAATAGATCTTATAGGTCGCGGTAACGAGAGGGGCCGCTCTACTCAGCCCGGCAGCAATAATAATAATAATAATTGGCAAGAATAAAGTATTTCTCTTAAAATCTAGAATCATGTATGTATGTATATATGGATTACCACACTTAGGCCCCATTGGACCTCTTGTGCATCCACCCATCACACAGTCTGGTTACATCAACCAGCCTAGGGATTTGCCAAAGACTAGGACATCTCCCAAAGGTGTGTTCTGAATATCATCATGTGGTTGGCTATTTCTCCTTGAAAGTCCTCATTCTGAGGTCGGTCAAAGCGTGTCTCATCTTGATAAGAATAAAATGTTGCTGAATAAAATAATGAATTGAATCATACCAGTAGAATTTCTTGCTATTTAGATATCTATCGTTGATATCTAGAATATGTCCAGAGTAAATTCGGAGGTGTTCTTGCAGTTTGGAATTTTACAAGAATAAATCCATTCTTTTTCTTAAAATGTAGAACCATACCAATAAAATTTCTTACTATTTAGAACTTTGTCGATGCAATTCTTGTCTTTCTCTTGCTACCTAGAATATATCCACTGCGAAGCTCATCCTGCACTCAACCCGAACTCAATTCAAACCAAATCCGAACCCAACCTCAACCCAAACCTAAAACGAACCTAACTGGGATCCACTCTGAACTCAACATGAATGCGAACGCGAACCTAACCTGAATTGGTTTTAATAAATTGTGTTAAAATAATTATATAACTAAGACGGTTTAATCACATCAATGTAATTCCAGAGTTCATCTAAAACCTGGAGAATAAATCCAGACTTTTCTTTACAGTTTGGAGTCTGACCAGATTAAATACAATGTTTTTTTTTTAAATTTATAATCATACCAGTAAAGTGCCCAGAATAAATCCATAGTTTTTCTTGCAGTTTAGAGTTTAGCCAGAATAAATTCAGTATTTTTCTTAAAATCTAGAATTATGTCAGTAGAATTTCTTGCTATTTAGAACTTTGTCAATGCAATTCTTGTCATTCTCTTGCTATCTAGAATATGTCCAATGTAGTTCCTTTGACGATTAACACTTTCCCAGAACAAATTCCAACTTTTTTGCAGCTTATCACTTCGAAACTTATCCTGAAATCAACCCGAACCCAACTGGAATCCAACCTGAACCCAAGTCCAACTCAACCCGAACTTCAAGTTGAGGTTTACTCACTGCAAGTGTTACTTTTCAAAAACGATAAGTCTATCCATAGTATTTATCCAGAATTTTTCTTGCAGCTTTTAATCTGACCAGAATAAATCCAGTGCTTTTTTTTTGATCTACAATCATACCGGTATAATATCTCGCTATCTAGAACTCTATACACGCCATTATTAGCTTTATCTTACTATCTAGAATATGATCAATGCAATTCCAGACATTTCTTTCATTCTTGCAGTCTGCCTAGAAAAAATCCAGACTTTTTCTTGTAGCTTAAAGTCTAACCAGATCAAATCCAGTGTTTTTTTTTAAATCTACAATTATACCAGTAGAATATCTTACTATCTAGAACTCTATACACGCAATTATTAGCTTTATCTTACTATCTAGAATATGTTCAGTGCAATTCCAGACATATCTTTCATTCCTGCAGTATGCCCAGAATAAATCCAGACTTTTTCTTGCAATTTAAAGTCTAACCAGATCAAATCCAGTGTTTTTTTTTAAATCTACAATTATACCAGTAGAATATCTTACTATCTAGAACTCTATACACGCAATTATTAGCTTTATCTTACTATCTAGAATATGTTCAGTGCAATTCCAGACATATCTTTCATTCCTGCAGTATGCCCAGAATAAATCCAGACTTTTTCTTGCAATTTAAAGTCTAACCAGATCAAATCCAGTGTTTTTTTTTTAATCTAGAATAATACCAGTAGAATATCTTGCTATCTAGAACTCTATACACGCAATTATTAGCTTTATCGTACTATCTAGAATATGTTCAGTGCAATTCCAGACATATTTTTCACTCCTACAGTATGCCCAGAATAAATCCAGACTTTTTCTTGCAGCTTAAAGTGTAACCAGAACAAATTCAGTGTTTTATTTTTAAATCTAGAATCATGCCAGTAGAGTATTTTGCTATTTAGAACTCGAACCCTGATTCCAATCTGAACCCAATCCCAACTCAACCCGAACTTCGTGTTGAGGATCACCGATTTTGAGCGATTTTGAGATTTTGAGGTTTGGGAGTGTTTGAGGAGGGATTTTGGGTAATATATGATGTACAGGATTTTTTGTTAGCTTCAAGTAGCAAGGTGAGAACTAAGCCATATTCTTCATGGTAATTCTGACAAAGGGAAAATCCTGTCGGATTCTTTCGCAATCTGTGATATTTTCTTGATGTTTTGCTTCTGCCTAGTTCTAATCCTTTTTCTGTATGATGCCTAGTCGTTGTAAATTAAGTGTGGACTCTCACCAATGTAATTGCATTTTTTGTCTTAAAGCTTGGAATTGTTTTAAAGCTGTCCAGAATAATTGTGAACTTTTTTGCAACTCGATATCTTAGCAGTACAACCCAAACGAACCCAACCCAAACCTAAGACGAACCCAACTGGGATCCAACCTAAACCCAACTCCAACCCAAACTGAACTTCGATTTGAGGTTCATCCACTGCTAGAGTTACTTTTCAAAAAAGATTTTGAGTCTGTATTATGGAAAGATGATGATAACTACAGTTTGGGAGTGCTACGTTTTTTAATGAATATTAAAAATGCAAAATAAACCGAGTTGGTGAAAGTTCGGTGTCAACTTGAGAATATGAGGCATGCTTTAAAAGTTGAGAAAGGATTTTGGGTAATATATGATATACAGGATTTTGGGTTAGTTTCATTAAAACGAGCAGATTGAGGACTAATCCCAGATACTTAATGGTAATTCTGACGAAGGGAATTGATTCTTTCGCAATTCATGATATTTTCTTGATGTTTGGACTTCTGCCTAATTCTAATTCTTTTTCTGTATGATGTCTAGTTGTTGTAAATTAAATTTGGAGTCTCACCAATGTAATTTTAACTTTTGTCATAAAGCTTGGAATCATCTTAGAGCTGTCCAGAATAATTGTGGACTTTTTTATGCAATTTGACATCTCACCAGTACAATTCCAGATGTTATGTTAATATTTGTAGTCATTGCTGGTTAAAGCAAGCTTCTTCTTGTACTTTATTATTGAGGTGGTTAAAAAAGATTACTATTATTATGATAACTTTTTATTATAATCTAAGAAACAACATAATAACAATTTTTATATTTAATTTTTCCAATCGCGTCTTCCTTGTGGGTGCCAAGCTTCACCTTCACGAATCACCTTCGCATTAAATCCATTTTTATCATCAGCTTCATATTTAACAATCCTCCTTGTACCATCAGGTTCCACCAATGAATATTGTCCAACGACTCTATCTTTAACACGTTCCTCCCATTGCTCCTTTTTATCCCCTGTTTTTGGATCTGCTACCCCATAATTATATTCGTATTTAGCTGGAGCCCATTGATCTTTTCCTTCATCCCATCCACCATTATTTCCACCATTATTTCCACCATCATTTCCACCATCATTTCCACCATAATTTCCTCCACCATTTCCACCCCAATTACCACCACTATTACTTTGCCAATCTCGTCCCGTCCAAGATCTAGCTTCGTAAGAATAAACCGTGCAGAAAATTGTTGCTAATAAAATCAATTTAATCATTTTGAATGTGTTAAGTGTGTTAACTCAATTAAGATGAAAATTGAATTGATTCGTTGAGATTGGAAGTCTTTATTTATATAAATACGACTTTCACTTAACACTTAATTAATCAATAAATAAACATTTATTTTCGGCACGGCCTTGCAATTCTTTTGGTATTTAGACCGGAAAATATGAACGATTGTTGAAGAAAGTCGCCTACATGCACCTCTTGTTGTATAACATATAGCAAAAGCTTATGTAATTCCTTTATCAATTTCGTAGTTTAAATGGACAACATTCTGGTGGAAAGGAGGCAGAAAAATGCGAAATTCGCTAACACTCAAAATCAATAGGCGTAAAGAAAATATTTCGTTACGGTTCGTTAGGTTTTAAAGCCAAGCAAACGTAATATTTATATAAATTTCACCATCACCTATAAATTTTCGTCATTAAATTATTAAATATGCTTCAAATAATTGTTATTGTCATTAATAACGGATAATTAGATTAAAATTTCCTTTCGCAACTTAATTTAACATATACGACGTAAATATACGCTTCGGATTGATTGCAAGGGCAATTAAATTTTTTATTAAATAACGTAATATGATCCGCACGCATTTACGGTCCGTTAGAATGAAAATGATAGCTATTACTTTAACCGAACATTATAATTTATTATCCACGTGATCATTAAATAGTAATGTCAGTTGCATTATCGTGTGTAATCAGTAAACAGGTACAAACCCTGACTAAGTAGTTAATGTATAATTCAGATGTTATATATACAGGATGTTTCAGCATTTTTAATCTCCAAAAGTCCAATAAATTCATCCAATTTTCATATTTTTCTCAATATTGACGCATCTGAGAATAAAAGTGAAAGAGAGCAATATTGTTAAGAATAAAATTTGCTACAACTTTTGTTTTAAAAATTTTTTTATAACATGCTCCATTTCCAGAGTGTTACCATTAAGTACTTGCTAAAGCAACAAATTCATCCAATTTTTATATTTTCGTATTTTTCTCGATATTGACGCATCTAATAGTAAAAGTGCAACAGAGCAATATTGCTAAGAATTAAATTTGCTACAACTTTTGTTCTAAAAGTTTTTTTATAACATGCTCCGTTTCCAGAGTGATACCATTAAGTATTTGCAAGAGCAACAAATTCATCCAATTTTCATATTTTCGGATTTATCTCGATATTGACGCATCTAATAGTAAAAGTGCAAAAGAGCAATATTGCTAAGAATAAAATTTGCTACAACTTTTGTTCTAAAAGTTTTTTTATAACATGCTCCGTTTCCAGAGTGCTACCATTAAGTACTTGCAAAAGCAAGAAATTCATCCAATTTTCATATTTCCGTATTTTTTTCGATATTGACGCATCTAATAGTAAAAGTGTAAGAGAGCAATATTGCTAAGAATAAAATTTGCCACAACTTTTGTTCTAAAAGTTTTTTTATAACATGCGCCGTTTCCCGAGTGGTACCATTAAGTATTTGCAAAAGCAAGAAATTCATCCAATTTTCATATTTCCGTATTTTTCTCGATATTGACGCATCTAGCAGTAAAAGTGCAAGAGAGCAATATTGCTAAGAATAAAATTTGCTACAACTTTTGTTCTAAAAGTTTTTTTATAACATGCTCTGTTTCCAGAGTGTTACCATTAAGTACTTGCAAAAGCAACAAATTCATCCAATTTTCCTATTTTCGTATTTTTCTTGACATTGACGCATGTAAGAGCAAAAGTGAAAGAGAGCAATATTGCTAAAAATAAAATTTGCTACAACTTTTGTTCTAAAAGTTTTTTTATAACATGCTCTGTTTCCAGAGTGTTACCATTAAGTACTTGCAAAAGCTACAAATTCATCTAATTTTCATATTTCCGTGTTTTTTTCGATATTGAGGCATCTAATAGTAAAAGTGCAACAGAGCAATATTGCTAAGAATAAAATTTGCTACAACTTTTGTTCTAAAAGTTTTTTTATAACATGCTCCATTTCCAGAGTGTTACCATTAAGTACTTGCAAAAGCAAGAAATTCATCCAATTTTCATATTTCCGTATTTTTCTCGATATTGACGCATCTAATAGTAAAAGTGCAAGAGAGCAATATTGCTAAGAATAAAATTTGCTACAACTTTTGTTCTAAAAGTTTTTTTATAACATGCTCCATTTCCAGAGTGTTACCATTAAGTACTTGCAAAAGCAAGAAATTCATCCAATTTTCATATTTCCGTATTTTTCTCGATATTGATGGATGTAATAGTAAAAGTGCAAGAGAACAATATTGCTAAGAATAAAATTTGCTACAACTTTTGTTCTAAAAGTTTTTTTATAACATACTCCGTTTCCAGAGTGGTACCATTAAGTATTTGCAAGAGCAACAAATTCATCCAATTTTCCTATTTTCGCATTTTTCTTGATATTGACGCTTGTAAGAGTAAAAGTGAAAGAGAGCAATATTGCTAAGAATAAAATTTGCTACAACTTTTGTTCTAAAAGTTATTTTGTAACATACTCCATTTCCAGAGTGTTACCATTAAGTACTTGCAAAAGCAACAAATTCATCCAATTTTCCTATTTTCGTATTTTTCTTGACATTGACGCATGTAAGAGCAAAAGTGAAAGAGAGCAATATTGCTAAGAATAAAATTTGCTACAACTTTTGTTCTAAAAGTTATTTTATATCATACTCCATTTCCAGAGTGTTACTATTAAGTACTTGCAAAAGCAAGAAATACATCCAATTTTCATATTTCCGTATTTTTCTCGATATTGACGCATCTAATAGTAAAAGTGCAAGAGAGCAATATTGCTAAGAATAAAATTTGCTACAACTTTTGTCTAAAAGTTTTTTTTATAACATGCTCCATTTCCAGAGTGTTACTATTAAGTACTTGCAAAAGCAACAAATTCATGCAATTTTCATATTTTCGTATTTTTCTCGATATTGACGTATCTAATTGTAAAAGTGGTAGAGAGCAATATTGCTAAGAATAAAATTTGCTACAACTTTTGTTTTAAAAGTTTTTTTATAACATGCGCCGTTTCCCGAGTGGTACCATTAAGTAGTTGCAAAAGCAAGAAATTCATCCAATTTTCATATTTCCGTATTTTTCTCGATATTGACGCATCTAGTAGTAAAAGTGCAAGACAGCAATATTGCTAAGAATAAAATTTGCTACAACTTTTGTTCTAAAAGTTTTTTTATAACATGCTCCGTTTCCAAAGTGTTACCATTAAGTACTTGCAAAAGCAACAAATTCATCCAATTTTCCTATTTTCGTATTTTTCTTGGCATTGACGCATGTAAGAGCAAAAGTGAAGGAGAGCAATATTGCTAAGAATAAAATTTGCTACAACTTTTGTCTAAAAGTTATTTTATAACATGCCCCATTTCCAGAGTGTTACCATTAAGTACTTGCAAAAGCAACAAATTCATCCAATTTTCATATTTTCGTATTTTTCTCGATATTGACGCATCTAATAGTAAAAGCGCAAGAGAGCAATATTGTTAAGAATAAAATTTGCTACAACTTTTGTTTCAAAAGTTTTTTTATAACGTGCTCCGTTTCCCGGATGTTACCATTAACAACTTGAAAAAGCAACAAATTATGCAAATAACATAATTACATAAATTAGTCGCTTTTGGTAAACACTCTGTACAATAACATCGAATAGTACTAGCGGTGATCGAAAGACCCAAGCTTTATTTATCGATATCCCCAGAATTTTCGCAAAATAATTAATAACCTCGCAACCTTGCATTCAAAAATTTAAAACAAGATATGCAGTTGTAACATTTAAGACGTCCAATCAGCATATCTAAAAAAATACATAGGGTTCCATTTAAAAAAATTAAGTTGAGTGCGGTCCTGGAATAGTGAAACACCCAGTATAACTGGAAATAATTTGAATCGATGCAGCTTTGATGGTAATATATGATGACATAAAACCATTTTTTTAATTTTCAACAATAAAGCCACTATTTTCCGTCCTCGCATTATTGACTCACCCTGTATGTACAGGGTGTTCAACAGCACATTGTAATTGTCGATGAAATTCAATTAGGGCAAACTTTTTAATTATTAATGTAAATAATAATATATATCAACGAT